TGACATGCGTACTTGAGATACATGTATAGAGATGCATTTCCTTCTGCTACCCGATGTTGGTGACATTTATGATTTTACATATATCTTGACATGTAGGCATAGAGACGTACTTTCCTCACGCTATCTGAAAATGAAAGATCTTACTTATTATTGAAAGGAGTTTTGGAAAAAATTACAGTTTTCAAACATACTCGTATTTTGGCATTTTCTGTAAAAGATTTGGGTTTTCACTTAGATACTTGAAAAGAGATGCCTATTTTTCTGGAAATGTGAACGAACTGAGCATTTTATTTCTGAGATACCTCTTTCATTACTTGTGCTATGCTGTTATGAACTGTGGTGGAATATTGGTGTTGGACACGGCCTTCGTGTTAGCTCATCACTACTTTCAACCTAAGGTTAAGTTTGTTACTTATTGAGTACATGTGGTCGGTTGTACTCATACTATACTTCTGCACCTTGTGTGCAGATGTTGGTTGCTGATGTTGCGGTATTCGATGGGAGCTAGATTGAAGATGAACCTGCGTCCCAGTTATAGCTGTCTCTTGTTCGTGGTAGCTTAAGGTGTAGGAAACTCTGTTTATGTACTTTTCAAACAGACGATATATTTATTTCATTTCAGCTTTGTAAATTCTATTCTTAAAAGCTCATGATTTGTACTACCAGTTCTTGGGGAATGTATAAGATTCAAATATTTCTTTACTTAACCGCTTTATTAATTGTTATTGAAACTAGTTAGTGGTTAATTGGCTTACCTAGCGGGTTGGGTTAGGTACCATCATGACTAATGGATTTAGGGTCGTGACAGTAAAGGACACAAATTTCTGTCAAACTTACGCTACATTCTATACAAAGCTCAATACAATCTAATCTTCTTACTTTTTTATTTCGTTGTTGTTGTGCCCGAAAACTCTGTTCCCGGAACTGTTGCTTCTGTTGTTTCATCTATATTCTAAGGCTAAGTATTGCATAATTCTTTGATTATTTTATTATTTCAGGATCAAATTAATTCATTTGTCTAGAAATCACATATAAATTCAATTGTACCATTTTACGGGTAAATAGTTTAGCGCTCATCGTGGGACCTAGACAACCGTGTAATTAAATTGGTCATTGCCTTTTTAACTAACGTGTTTTGATTATTTTGTCTTAGAAAAAATTATAAGAAATGGCAGATAACATTGTTAACAATATGCACAACCCCGAGATTCGAGGGGATCAACCTCATTTCGAGGACTCAATCAGTGACACCCATAATGAGGGAAATGGCGCTACACCGGTGCATGACAGGAAATATCCCTGACATGTTCAGGAGACAACTCTCGATGATGCTAATGAGGAACATGTCGTTGATGCGGTAAGGGTCTTGCAAGAGTAACAGAAGATCATTCTAGGCCACCTCATGTGACAGGATAAGGTTATGACAGAGTTGAAGCAGGGGCTATCGGGAGCTTCAAATAATGCAAACAAATGAGATCTGATTCCTCTCGGGGTCCTCGCAAATCAAACAACGTCAGAAGGTCGACAACAACACTCCCAAAGGAGAAATTGGCACCGATGGGCCAGGGGGGAGCGAATCCGGCCTCAACAACGAGAATGATCCTTTCAAGAATAAACTTTTACAGTTTATGAGGGAAGTGAACGTCCGCATGGACCAGATCCCGGGCGCGCCACCAGTGCTGAAAGGTGCGAACTCGAAAAGTACACTCAATTTCCATACAAACCAAGTGCGGCACAAGAGTTAATCTCGAAGCGGTTCAAAATGCCTGAAGTGCCAAAGTATGACCGAACTTCAGACCCCCAGGAGCATATTACCACCTTCACAATGGCGGTAAAGGGAAATGATTTAGCTCCTCACGAAATTGAATCTGTGTTGCTAAAGAAATTTGGAGAAACCCTTGCGATGGGAGCCTTGACGTGGTATTCATTATTACCCAAGTATTCCATAGACTTCTTTGAAATGCTTGCGAATTATTTCATCAAGGCTCATGCAGGGGCTAGAAAAGTACATGCCCAAAAGGCTGACATATTCAGGATTATGCAAGAAGAGTCCGAGCTGTTACAAGAGTTCGTTATCCGATTCAAGAACAAGAGAATGTTGCTCCCGTCTATCCCGGATGAATGGACTCCTGAAGCACTCACCAAGGGATTGAATTCGAGGAGTTCAGACGCATCCCGAAAATTAAAAATAAGCCTACTTGAGTTTCAAGCAACAACCTGGGCAGATGTCCACAACCGGTACGAATAAAAAATAAGGATCGAAGATGATCAGGTTGGTTTTCCATCGTCGACCAAAGAACGAGAAAAGAACAGAGAAAAATCAAAGGATGATTATGACGCGATTAGATGGACTATGAGGGACCGGTCTTTGCCCTACGAACAAACCGAAGGCCGCATCAGAGGTTTCCGGACAGCGGACAGGTTCACCGTTGACAGGAGGACTGATCGTGGTAGAAATAATCGATCACTACAGGATAAAGAGGTGTCAGGGTCACGGGATAGTGGAGTAGGGATCGGCCACGAGAAACATCAAAGAAACACGGTTCCCGAAAATGATGAGATATGATCCCAGCCAGAGGGATCCCAACTTATGGTGTGAATACCACGGGACGAATGGCCATCGGATAGGGGACTGTCGACACCTCCGGGAAGAAGTGGCAACATTATTGAAGAATGGTAACCTTAGAGAATTCTTGAGTAACCGATGTAAGAACAATTATGGTCGTAATCGTGACAAAGCGGAACCCTCGAAAGCAAGAGAAGACCCCCTACGTCAAACAATCAACATGATCTTCAGAGGGAACGAGGTTAACGGGGTCACCTTTTCAGCAGCAAAGAAGATAAAAGTAACATAACGCATAGCAAAAGACTTTGGGAAGATGATATCACTTTTACGGACGAGGACGCAGACGGATTGTTGCTATCACACAATGACGCACTGGTAATTTCTTTAAATGTAGTAGATTTTAAGATTAAACGTGTTCTAGTGGATCTAAGAAGTTCGTCTAATATCATATAATAAAGAGTATGAGAGCAAGCTAAACTCACCTGAAGCATTATTCCGGCCATAAAGCTCCTCGCCGGATTCAACCTCGCAAGTGTGACAACCCGGGGAGAAATTTTATTACTCACGAACGCTGAAGGAGTAATGAAAATAACTCTTTTCGAAGTGGTAGATGGTGATATGGGATACAACATCATTCTGGGAAGGCCATGGTTGCATGATATGAAAGTTGTACCATCAACGTATCATTAATTGCTGAAGGTTCCAATGCCAGAAAGAATTAAGCAGATAAGGGGTGATCAACCGACGGCAAGGGAGATGAATGCAATTTCGGTCTCTAGTAGCAAAGGAAAGGAACACGTGGTATAGCAATTACACGGACCAACACCTACTCCCGAACTAGATGAAGTTAGCCCGGGGGCAGAGGCGTCGAAATATTATCAGATGCCGAGATATTTCCAAGTTCCAAAAGAGACCGATGCAACAAAGTCCACAGCGGAAGAGCTGGAGTAAGTGGCAATGTTCGAAGAATTCCTAGAAAGGAAATTCCACTTGGGGACTGGACTGCACCCAGAACCCAGGTCCGACTTTATTAAATTCCTTAAATCTAATGCCGATTTTTTTGCATGGTCGCATGAGGATATGACATACATACCGACAGAGGTAGCCGTACACAAGTTAAGCGTGGATCCCAACATACCTCCAGTAATACAAAAGAAACGCCTAATTGTCGAAGCCAAGAATAAATTCGTCAAAGAAGAGGTAACCCGCTTACTTAATATCGGTTCGATCCGAGAGGTAAGATATCTAGACTGGCTAGCCAATGTAGTAGTAGTTCCTAAGAAGAACAATAAGTTTCACATGTGTGTAGATTATAAAGATCTTAACAAGGCGTGCCCGAAAGACTAGTTCCCACTGCCAAACATCGATCAAATGATTGATGCCATGGCCGGGCATGAGTTAATTAGTTTCCTCGATACTTATTCCGAGTACAACCAAATTAAGATGAACACGGAGGATTAAAAATAACTTCGTTTGTAACGAATTTCGATATATATATTGCTACAATGTGATGCCCTTCGAGTTGAAAAAAGCTGGAGCCACTTATCAACGGCTCGTGAACAGGATGTTTGAAAATAAAATAGGAAAGACTATGGAAGTTTATATAGAAGATATGCTCGTTAAGTCTATAAATACAGGTGATCATCTTAAACATCTGCAAGAAACTTTCGACATCATAAGGAAGCATAATATGAAACTTAATCCTGAGAAATGTTTGTTCGGGGTCAGCTCTGGTAAGTTTAAGGGATTTCTGGTATCACAAAGGGGAATTGAGGTAAACCCCGATAAGATCAAGGCCATAGAAGACATCCCGGACCAACTATCAAATGTGAAGGAAGTCCAAAGGCTTACGGGGAGATTGGCAGCTTTGAGCAGGTTCATTTCCCGTTCATCAAAAAAGTGTCATCGTTTCTTCGCACTGCTCAAAAAGAAAAATAATTTCGAATGGACCTCGGAGTGCCAGCATGCTTTGAGGGATTTAAAGAAATACTTATCAAGCCCTTTATTGCTTTCAAAACCAAAAGAAGGTGAAACATTGCTGGTTTATCTTGCGGTCTCAGAAGTTGCGGTAAGTACGATCTTAGTCCGAGAGAACAAAGGTACGCAATCTCCCATTTATTATGTTAGTAAAATTTTAACGGGAGCAGAAACTCATTACCCACATTTGGAGAAACTGGCCTTAGCTCTCGTAGTCGTCGCTCGGAAGTTGAGGCCCTACTTTCAATGCCACCCGATAGTCGTGGTGACGACTTTCTCTTTGCAGAACTTCCTCCATAAACCCGAGCTCTCGGGTAGATTGGCCAAATGGGACGTCAAAATGAATGAATTCAACATAGAATATAAACCAAGGACTACAATTAAGTCGCAAGTTTTGGTTGACTTCGTGGCCGATTTCAGTCCGGGATTATTGCCTCTGGTAACTAAGGAGGCAGTAATGGTATCAGAATCGACATCAGGGGTTTGGACCTTATTTATGGACGGAGCTTCGAACGTAAAAAGGTCCAGGCTCGGTATAGTCTTAATTACGCCTTCGGGGGAAACCTTAAGGCAAGCCGTTAGGATGGTCCATTTAACTAACAATGAAGCACAATATGGAGCTTTGATTTCAGGGCTCGAATTAGCCCGGGAACTTGACTCTGAGGTCATCAAAATCAAATGCAACTCACAGCTGGTGGTAAATCATGCCTACGGGATCTTCAAAACCAAAGAGGAGCTCATGCAACAATACGTGGTAAAGGTTCAGGATCTGTTGGCGCGATTCCAGGAGTGGTCAATTACTCATATCCCAAGGGAAGATAACGCAGAAGCAGACGCATTGGCAAACTTGGGATCATTGACGAAAAAAAAGGGATCGGAGTCCAGGACGGTAGTACAACTGATGAACTCAGTCCTAGATACATATGGTCACTATGAGGTAAATTTGACTAATCTAGTCTAGGACTAAAGGAATGAAATCATCGATTATCTCGAACACGAGAAGCCACCTGAAGACCCCAAAGTATCCCGGGTACTGCGCGCTAAAGCAGCGCGATATAACTTCAAGAGAGGCCAATTGTATAGAAAATCTTTTCAAAGCCCGTTGGCTCGATGCTTAAGGGCATCTGAAGCTAACTATGTTAGGAGAGAGGTTCACGAAGTGATATGCGATAACCACTCGGGCACAGATTCCTTAGTGCTAAAGTTGATAAGGGCATGATATCATTGGCCCCGCATGGAACAAGACGCCAAAGACTTCGTAACAAAATATGATAAGTATCAACACTATGCACCATTGGTGCATCAACCGGCAGAACCCTTACATTCGGTTCTGTCCCCGTGGCCGTTCATGAAATGGGAGATGGACATCGTCGGACCACTGGCACCGGCCCCCGGAAAGGTAAGATTCTTTTAATTTTGACTGACTATTTTTCTAAGTGGGTGGAAGTAGGCCCATATAAAAATATCGGAGAACGTGAAGTGGTGGATTTCTTGTGGAAAAATATAATTTACAGGTTCACGAATACCAAAAGAGATAGTATGCAACAATGGGTCACAGTTTATCGGCGCAAAAAATACAAAGTTCCTCCAAGAATTAAAAATAAAGAGGATCACGTCTTCACCCTATCATCCGAGCGCAAACGGTCAAGCGGAGTCGACGAATAAAGTGATTATTCAAAACCTCAAGAAAAGGTTGGAAGCGGCTAAGGGTAACTGGCCCGAGGAATTACCCGGAGTTCTATGGGCATACCGAACTACGGCCAAGTCGAGCACAGGGGAAACCCTTTTTTCCCTCGTGTACGGTGCAGAAGCTTTAATCCCGGTGAAAGTAGGGGAACCCACCTTGAGATATTTTCGGGCAGATGAAGAATCGAACAACGAAGCAATGTTAGTAAACTTGGAACTTCTCAATGAATGCAGGGACTTGGCGCATGTAAGAATGGTAGCTCAAAAGCAGAGAATGAGGCGGTATTATAATCAAAGAGCCAACCTCCGTTATTTCAAAGTAGGAGACTTGGTCCTAAGGAAAGTAACTCAAAACACCCGGGAGCTCAACGTGGGGAAGCTAGGTCTAACGTGAGAAGGCCCCTACCGGGTTTTAGCTATCACCGGGAAAGGTTCATACGAGTTGGAAAACCAAAATGGAGAAAAGTTGCCCAGCAGTTGGAACGTGGCACACCTTAAAAAATATTATTGCTCATGAACATCATCCGATCAGAAAGTATGTGCTGCACTCTTTTTCTCTTCATTCAGTTTTTGTCCCAATTGGGTTTTTCTGGCAAGGTTTTTAATGAGGCAGCAACTGAAAGCATACTACGAAGACAACAACAATAAGACATTTAATAGCAAGGCATACAAGCAAAGATCCACTCGGGAATGGTTAGATAATCTTTTGCTCCATGGCAAATTCCCACCGGGAAGTTAAGTTTGCTATTGAGCAAAGGTTACCTGATCATTCACGAGCACAAACCACTAGAGGGTTGTTAAATAGTCCTTCACTCGATAGCATAAATTCCTAAGGGGAAGGAAAGTGTGTTACCAAGTTAAGGATTATCTAGCAATGCATTAGTGGAATCTTCGAAGATACAAGACTTCCAGTGTTCCAATTCGCACTCTTTGCATTCGAACACTAGGGGGGAATGATATGAGGATACGGCAAACAATGACTGCCACGTAGATCGAAAAATGAAAAACCAAAAATATAATTGCATCATGGGGACCAGGGACTGCGCGGCCAGCCCTGTAGAAACAAGTTGTACAAGTTAGCCACAAGTAATGGCAATTTCTTTTCAGCATAGAAAATGCTTATGTAATTTTTGAAAATAGAAGGAATAAAATGAAATCCTTTTGTTTTTATCTTGTTTCTTATTTGAACGATGAATTAATTTTGTCATTTGAAAGTTAAACAAGTATTTCAAATGCTAGTGTCGTAATGAACAGAAGACGTTCTCTTCAAGAATACCATAAACATAAGAAGGACCTCTCTTATAAAAACCCTCACGTTAAAGGGTTGGTTCCCGAAGAATTTATGCCCAGAATCAAAATGCCTTCGGGGAAAGATACACCCGAAGTCGTATACGAAAGGACGCAAAAAGTAAACTTGCGCAAATACTTATCAAAGCCCTCACGAAAAAGCTGATGCCCAGAGCCAAAAAAGCTTTCGAGAAGAATACACCCAAGGCTTCACATAATAAAACCCAAAACAGAAAAGCTTGCGCAAAATTCTTAAGCAAAAGAAAGAAAATACAAAGATTAAAGACTTGCATGAATATTCAAACGAAAGGAAGACTCAAACAATATTTGAGCAAAAGATATTTTTATTTACAAAAACATGTCAAAACGAAACAAGTACAAGAATTGAAAAAAGAAAAGAAAAGCTAAACTGCAGTATCTCCGGAATCAGGAGGAAGAGAAGTATCCCCGCTTCCAGGAGAAGTAGACGGACCTACCGATGGCTCAATATTTTCAATAGTTTAGCCTTCAGCATCATCATCCTCTGATTCTTCTTCACTTCCTGAGAACTCGGAACCGGAACCAGAAGGACCAGGTGTATCAGACCTCGCTGGGAGTCCACTTTTAGCAGCTAACTCAAGCTCACGGGCCTTAGCAATTTCGGCATCAAAATCAATGACACCGGCTTTGGCTTCTTCTAAGGTTTTTCTCCTCATGTTGTACATAGCGTAGGTTTTCTCAACAATGAGGGAAGTCGCTCGACGCTTAAGTTCTTCTTTAAGTTGGGTTACCTCGACATAAAGGTTTTCTCGGGCGGACCTTGAAGATTTGAGGCTAACATCAAGCCACAGACAGTTGAATACGGAGAGACTTGTGTCTAATCAACCGTCAGAAGCCTTCAGAGGGAATTATAGTAATTTTCGCCAAAAGAGTGTTTCTATCTACTTCCCGGTAACACAAAGTTATGTCACCGAAAAGCAGGGGGACTATCTGTATAGGGTAAAATATGCTATGACGTGTGGCCGTCAAAAAAGGGGACACGTGGAACCCAAGACGGGAAATGGCCAAAGACCGAAGGCAATTGTTTCGTTTTTTACCGGAAAGAATAACGCTCATAAAGATGTGATCAATACTCTTCGCCCGATAGCATTTAATAGAGAATATTCCATGGCATTAAGAGCAATTATCCGTTACAGAAAATTTGGCATTTATGTTCACCGTTACATCTTCATCAATGTCCCTCATAATTGACATTAAAGAAGGGCACGATCCTAGGACCTCCTTCATAGCTATAAATAGTGAGCTCAGTTGTCATTGTAAAGGACACGAATTTTCTGGCAAGCTTACGCTACGTTCTATACAAAGCTCAATACAATCTTATCTTCTTACTTTTTGATTTCGTTATTGTTGTGCCCGAAAACTCTGTTCCCGAACTGTTGCTTCTACTGTTTCGTCTATATCCTAAAGCTAAGTATTGCATAATTCTTCGATTATTTTATTATTTCAGGATCAAATTAATTCATTTGTCTAGAAACCACGTATAAATTCAACTGTACCGTTTTACGGGTAAACAAATATATAGTAGTAGATATGACTAGTCAGAATTAACCTAGTTAATCATTATAAACTTCTTTTTTCTTTTAGAAAAACCAAAAAAAAAAAAAAAAAAAAACAAAGAAAAAGTGATCATATACACTAAAGCATTTGCTAGCTATTTGCCGTCTGCCTGTTGTAATTAGTATGCGGTCGGGTGTAAGAATTTAGGGGCTTAAAAGATTTATTTTCTTATATTTTGGGATTTAAAAATTTATATATATTATTTTTAATGTTGGACCTCCTAAAGTAAACACTTTTTCCTTAATACATGACGGAAAATACCGGAATAAAAGACCTAATAATAATCTATTGAAATACGGCAAGATATTTGGTGATATTTTATAAAGCTGGTGGACTACCGTCTAAAGAGATCTAATATGCTATCTAAATACTAACGATCCAAAACATTTGCTCGAAAAGGAAAATTTAGTGATTAAGAAGTCGTAATTTGAACTATTTTTTTTAACGAGTTAGAATATTAATCTAATCGTTATCTTAGTAATAGTTGTTTTGTTAACTATGTGGGGAAAATATTCAAAGATATTTACATCTAAATTTTAGAAGAAAACTCTTGAGAAAAAACCAGCCCGCCCTCTAGTTGACCGACAATCTTTTTTGAAAGTTGACAAAAGATTTCATTTCAACATATAACCGTCCTTTCCTTTTCTCTTTTTCCCCTCTTTTGGTGTGTGCAATAAGGGCCCTAAGGTAATGACCTAAATGGGGATGTCTTTCTTGCACTTTTTAAAAGTAGAATAAGTAATTAAGAAGCCAGTTACAACAAAATCTCTATCCATGCATGGAAAAGACACTTGGAAGTTTGACGTAATTGGAATAGTCCGGTATCTATAATTTACATTACACTCGCTATCATATGTTAACTAGCAGTTGAGTATAAGTTAATGATACAATTTTTCAACCGTAAATAACGGAGAAAATGACGGAAAACAAGAACTCAATTTAATTACATACTTCTCCTGCTTATAGAAGCAACAACCAATTCAACTTTTAAACTGATATTTCCAAAAACTAAAGGTCCAAGTGTCCCTTAAACTTTCAATATAACAGGCAAATCCAGTGGTAAGGATTAATCAAGAGAAGCTTGAAACTTTACAAAAATGACAAATATATATCAATTTTTAGGACCAGAGCCTGCAGCTGGCTGTTGGAATTGCTGGTACAACGCTGCCATCCTACTATACGCATCCATGGTCATTGGCTGCAAATTTTTACAATCCATTCTTTAAAAGGAAAACACTTAATATAACAGAAATAATCTCCACTATAAGTCCCAATTTTTTTTTAAATCCAATGAAACACTTTGGCAGTAGATTTAACTTCTCTACTGATAGTGTAAAAGTGTTTAGAAAATTAATGACATTTGATCCATTATAACATGTAATTTGCATTATTTTATAGATTATTAACTCTATTTATTGTCGACAACTACCTATAACTATTTTTTAAAGTGACTTTGATAGTATAAGATTAAAAGTTTTTTTAAGCGGTCAGTGTATATCAGTTAAATTCCTTAGTGTTTTACCTGTGATTGGCAAGCGAGTAAGGCAGCTAAAGGATCGGGGACAGCAGCAGCATTGAGACGGTCAGTGGAGCCATCCCAGGAGGTCATAGGCTGCATGAAGGCGGCGGCGGCGGCGGCGGTAGGGTGAAGAAAGGGAGGAAGTCCGGTGATATTGGGGCGGCTAAGGGTGTTGATATCCAAAACTCCGGCAACACCCATACCCATGCCCATACCCATACCCATGCCCATGGGTGCAGCCATCATAGACATCTGAAGCTGTTGTTGCATGGCCAAGGGTAACATCATGGCCGGTGACATGTTCATTCTGCTCATCATATTCACTTGAGATTGCAGTTGCTTCAGATATTCTATCACCTCATCTAGCATTGATGCTTTATCAGTCTGCAATAAAATAAAAAAGATCCAAATATGACATTAATTCTCTCTTTTTTTAAAATTTAATTATCCTTTACCGGAATTCCAGTGGTCAATTAATTTGGATTATGTTAGATAGATATACGACTAAGGTGTCGTTTGGTTGCTAACAAAATTATCCTCTTATTATCTCATAAATAATAGTAGAATTATATCAGTATAGTATTTATATCGGTATTAGTTAATACCCGTAATCAAATACCAACTGTATTTCCAAACTTTCTATAGAGATTAGTATTTTAATCCTGGTAACCAAGACCACTAAGTGAATAATATGTTCCCTGTCAAAATGTTTTCTTATTACCAAAACCTCTAATTAGGAGCGAAGAAGTCTCAATTATCCTGTCAACCACCCTTTGAAAATCATTAGTCAATTAATTTAGATTCATGTCGGATAGACTTATAACGGAATATCTTATGTCTCTTAAAGAGTGTGCAAGAATATTAAAAGTAAGATAATATAAAAAAAAAATATTTATTTTTAAAATTTATTTTAAAAAAATTTCTAGCTAGCCAAAGATGCCATATGTATTTTGGAAAGGAATAAATGTAGAAAGCTCAGCAAAACAAATGGTTGAAACAAGATAACCACAAATTAAAGAGGGTTGTTTAAGGTCCCTACCTCAGATTTTCTATGTGGTAGAACAAGATTGTCTTCTCAACTAACAAACATTTGTCGAGTTGTCTCCTTCAGGACAGTATATATGTGGACTTAGATCATTAGTCCTTTCCCATATATTCACACTCATATTTAATGCCCAAAAAGTTTTAGGACCACTTTCCACTAAATTGTCTCCAGTCCCATTATTTTCGCTCATTAACCTCCACTATTGAACTAGCTACGACTACTACCTTTTTGTATTGTTTCTTAAGGCTGCTCTCTTATAGCCAATCTTCACTGACACTTCCATTAAAAAGAGTTGATTTTTTTGGTTTCGATTGACTTCCAATGATGCTTGAATTTCCTTTTTTCCCCTAAGGGGTAAACTAACATTTCTACCTACCATTGATACTTACAAAAAAAGGATCAGGACACATACTATATCTGCAAATTTATAAGAATTCGTGCTCACTTTTAGTTACACATTGTACATAATTTTGAATTATGATTAGCTCCATTTATACCTAATTGACTTTGGTTAAGTTTCTTCAATCCTAGATTTTTTTTTTAAAGTACTTTTTTTTACAAAGTTGAAGTGTTTGGCCAAACTTTTGGAAAAAAATACTTTTGAAGAGAAGCAGAAGTAGTTTTGGAGAAGCAGAAAAAAGTAGTTTCTCTTCAAAAAATACTTTTTTGAAAAGAACTTTTGAGAAAAATACACTTAAAACAGTTTTTAAAAGCTTGGCTTAGAAGTGATTTTCAAATTAATTAGTCAATCACGAACTGCTTCTCACCAAAAATACTTTTCAGAAAAAACAATTCTCAAAATAAGTTGATTTTTGCTACTTGGCCAAACATGTTACTATTTCCAACAAAGTTAAGTTTGAGGGAAGCAATTTCATCAAGAATGAGCAAGTTTCTTAAATTTAGAGTTCCGAACGGGAAAGGAATAATATGCTAATTATGTGATATAAATCGTGTATTCCTCGTCCCAATTTATGTGAAGATATTTGATTGACACAAAATTTTAAAAATTATTTTTTAAAATCTTATGATCTAAAGCATAAATATTTTTATTATTATAAATCATATCATTAAAAATAAAATAGAAAGTTTAAAGTTGAATTATTTTAAAAAAAATCAATTTTTTATACAAAATTAATATAAAAAAAATGTATCACATAAATTATGATAGAAGATGTATATGTTACCGTCAATCCATATTTTAAGCGAATTATCTACTATACTTTATTTCTCTCTAAAATATTTGCTTAATTAGTAATCTATTAATTGATACCATATAGGCGGAGGGGAAAAAACAAAAAAGTACTACTATAAATTATTTTTAGTTTTTCCATACAAGCAAATACCTCTAAACAAATTAATTCACTTAGTCAAAACGATTATATATCGGACCAACGACGGTATTAGATGAGAATGAACTTCTATCTACTAGAATTTTCTCTTCAGCACGAAATAGAAAATAACACACGTAAAGAGATTAATAGACTCTCAATTCCATTACCTTACTCGAATTTGGAACCATCTTCTGCAGTGTCTTCATCCTTTGAT